AGTCATCGCAAGCTGTGTTCGTCGTGCCAGCACGGAATAGGTATCGAAAAGACATCATCTTCGGTCGAATCGATCATCCCCTACGCACGCTATGGGACGAATCTGAGGACGAAGACCCGGCGCCCCAGTTTTCGCAATACAGTCGAGTTGCAAAACGCATGATGAGCGACATGGGATACGCCCTCACTCGCTTGGAGGGCCTAAATTATGGCCGAGGGCGTAGAACGGTCATCCGACCCGCCTACGTGCCCAAAGGGAAGCCCTCAAATTACTTCAACAGGACTAGGAGAGGCTTAGGCTACTCCTCCTCCTCGTCGGATTTGTGTTTCTACGTCAACGAGGATTCCGATTACGCATGTTCGGGGGATCAATCATCAGCAACCTCGGCTTGGGACTCGGACGTCAGCGTAAGTGATCTGTTCGATAGCCTTACAGTCAACATGGCTACGATAGACCCCGCCGAAATGGCGGAGGACGAACAACTCCCGCTCTATGACGAGACATGGGATCGCCATGTTAACGCCCAGTGGAACAGTCGCTTCGAACAGCGCGAACCACCAACTGAAGACGAAGTCCTCCAGGTGAACATGGGTACCGAGGCGAATCCCAAACCCATATTCATCAGCGGCAGTCTGCCTCCTCAAGAAAAAGAGGATCTCATCGCCCTCATACGGGAATACATTGACGTCTACTAGAGAAAAGAGTTAGAAAAACTTCTCCATAAACACAAAGGAGGATGAAGAAGATTGAGGATGAATTCCTCAATTGACAATGCAAGCTTCCTCTTTGTAAACACAAACACAAACTTGAGAAATAAACTTTTAAACTCTTAAAACTCTTTTTTTAAAAACCCTCCTGGATGTCTACAGAACTGAAATAGTGAGGGGTATATATAGGATGAAAAACCAACGCTCAAAACCCAAGAAAATCCAGCAAAATGATAAAACTATAAAAGGCTGAAAAAATAACCGTTGGGGCTTATCAGTCGACTAACGGGTTGCGTCAGTCGACTGATGAGCTGATCGTTGTAGGCAAACAGTAGTTTATTAGTCCACTGATAACCATGGTCAGTCGACTGATGCTGATGACCTCATCAGTCGACTGATCAGTCGACCAATAAAAAAACAGAAACTTTTTAAGATTGCAGGATATTTCTTCAGTCGACTGATAAATGTCATCAGTCGACTGATAACATGTTTTCAGCTTGTATTGATTTTTGAAAACGAATTTTAAAGTTATTTTAAAAATAGCAAATAAATTATAAAAAATATAAAACTTTGAGAAAAGTTTATAAACATGATTATGAACATGTTGGAAAAGGAATTTTTCAATTTTCTCTTATCATTTGTGAAATCTCAGAAAAATTCAAAAGCACTAAAAATACATGTGTTTTAAACATGTTGATTTTGACAGTTAGCTCAAATCAAGTTTTAAAAACTTGTGTAATGTTTATATGGACATAATAAAAGATGTTAATAATGTTTGTATAGTCCAAAGCATATTAAAACATATTTTTCATAAAAACACCTATATTTGAGAAAATTCACAAATGAAAAGTGTGTGTATATTTGTGCTTGTAGAATTTGCACACATTATATCATCCTGTACTAAGTATACCAAGAATGAATCTTCTGAAGCTTGAACTTTGATTGATTGACTTGATTTGCATAGGCTTTAATATCAATGTTGCTCAATTTCCTGTGTATACTAAACAACACAAAACAAAATACTAAAACCAATATTAGTCGTAAATTGTTTGTTAAATTATCATTAAAACAAGAAGGCCAACAACATACTATACAACATTCAAATGGCATATGTGAAAAGGTTCAACTAAAAATACATGCGCATTAAAGGGCTTGAAAATTTGTCGCCATATCTGAATAAGAAAAAAATTATATACATTATTACTTCGTATTCATTAGTGAAGACTAGGAAATGCTCATTTGTTTTTCAACAACAGGGCTCATTTGTTTTTCAACAACAGGGTCAAGAAGGCAACATAATCGCAACGGATATTATAAAATCTGTAAAGATTTAAAAAGATACATTGTATGTCTTGGCTCATATAATATACTGCATTTTTAAGTATCTTTAACCTGGATTGAGTTGAACCCAATGAATTCTACACTGTGCAATCTTGTCACTGCATATGAAGTACATAGAGAGCGTACATAGAGAGCCCCTCATCTCTCTTTGTTTTATCAACTAAATCTACATATTTCATGTTTGGCATGTACCATACGCTTCTATACTAGATTATTCTGTATAGGTAATTACACATAATATAACTACATACACCAAGACATATTTTTATGACATTTATGCATGCATAAGTTGTTTCGAGGTTATTTAGAACAATGTGTGTGTGGATTTAGTTGTCAGTTTTTGTTTGTGTTACCATTAGTTCTTTCTTGCTCCAAATTATTGCTTTAAGGATGCTTAATCAAGATTCAAGATACTGTTCATTAAATCTATTCATGTGTTTCATTAATTATTCATTGAAGGAAGCTATTGGGATTTGTGAAGATGGAACAGAGGAGACTATTCTAATGTTAGAGCCCAGTTGCTCATTTGGAGATATTTCCGTTCTTTGCAACATTCCTCAGCCCTATACTGTACGTGTGTGTGAACTATGCAGACTCTTGCGTATTGATAAGCAGCTTTTATCAAATATCATTCAGATATACTTTGTTGATGGACGAAGAGTCCTAAGCAATCTTTTGGAGGTATCTTCTATATGAAGTTTGGAGTTATATACTTTTCTTGGATGCCTCTGAGCAATTTTGTTTTATCTGTATCCAGTTGCAATACTTAGATGATCTCTTTCTTCCTCACAGAGTAATGAATCCAACATTCGTGTCAAGCAACTTGAATCCGATATCATAATCCATATTGGGAAGCAAGAAGCTGAGCTTGCATTACGAGTAAATAGTGCTGCTTTTCACGGAGATTTGGATCACCTGAAGGGTTTGATTCGAGCTGGGGCAGACCCTAAGAAGAGTGATTATGATGGGCGAACTCCTTTGGTATGATTTTGATAGAGTACAGTTTTCAATCATCTGTCATTAATTTAATCATCTTACATGTATGCTTTAAAGAATGTGTGATGCTTTCTGCTGGTATATTTTAGGTTTCTTTTGCCTTCATTAAGAAAAAGTTAAAGGTTTATGATTTAACGAAATTTACCAACTTCTATGTTTCATGCGTACTCGTAAATGAAGCCGTATACACGACACGCACCTGTACCTGAGACGTATAAGTACCCGTACCTGTGTCCATACCCAAATTCCTCGGACACTCCTTGCATATATGAATACATTTATTCGGGAATATACTCACTTATGCAATATATGTTTAAGTTAAAACACTTTTCATACACTTCTTGGACACACATCCTATACTTCACGTCCACTTCCTAAAACTCGTTGGATATAGGCCTTATAATTTTAAAGGGTCATTTGGGTCTCTAGTTCAAAAATGATTGTTTTCCAATTTATAAACCACATAATAAAAGAAACATAAAAATTATTATATGAATAATTATCATAACATGTGAACGAAAAACAATATCGATCTCATGTAAATCATTAATTTCACTATTATAATACATGTATGTGTATAATAAATATTTATATTGTCGTGTCCTCGTACCTTGCCTTTTTTACAAATTTTCTGTGTCCTATACCCGTGCCGGCACTTGTACTTGTACCTATTTCCATGCAACTTAGACCAACTCCAATTCACAGCAGTTAACATTGGGAGCAATCTTTTTCTAGATCGAAGGAAAGAGAAATAAAATCATTGTCTTCTGTAAAAATATTAAAGCTCTTTACCTTCATGAATCTTTCTATCCATTTTAACATGCACTTCTTGGATATTTTCTTTACTGATCATAGTTACATTGAACCAAATTTTCGTATGACCTGTAAAAGTTCTTTAAAGCTAGAGGTGTCAATTGTTTATCCGATTTCTGCTTGCCAATTACTTGGCTATTATGACCTAACCTGCATCATACCAGACTTCAATATAGGCTTGCATTCTCTTACAAATATTATTTATGAATATATAACCAGGTGTTCAAGCAAGGGTATGTCTCCACCTTGCAGTAGTCGATATTTATTTAAATTGCAAAAGTTATCACTTTGAAATAAATTCTCATTTTCATTTCAGCATCTTGCGGCATCAGGAGGATATGAAGATATCACTTCATTCCTTATTCATGAAGGGGTGGACATTAATGTTTTAGGTGCCATTCTTTTGGCACTCAAACTCTGGCTTCATCTTGGATCTTCAACGTTCTCTTGAATTTGTAGTATATAACACTTACAAGGCCTTTTCATCTTATCATGAATCTTGATATTTGTATTGATCTGTATGCTTGTTTCTATTAGATAAATTTGGGAACACTGCGCTATTAGAGGCTATCAAAAACGGACATGACGAAATGGCTTCCTTACTCTTCAAACATGGAGCAAACTTAAACCTCAGTGATGCTGGTAGCCAACTTTGTGCTGCTGTTGCAAAGGGGGACTCAGATTTTCTAAAGAGAGTTTTATCTTATGGCATCAATCCAAACTCAAAAGATTATGATCACCGTACACCTCTGCACATTGCTGCTGCAGAGGGCATATTTGTGATAGCAAAAATACTTCTAGAGAATGGAGCTAGTGTTTTTGCCAAGGACAGGTTCGATATCCAAACTCTTAGTGACTGTCTGTATCATGACTTTGTTGTTTCTTTAGCATATCATATATGAACTCCAAAACTGTTTTAGCTTAGGTGCTAATGTGGAGTATATGTTACTGAAGCAATCTGATATAACTTGCAAAAGAAGATTTCTAAAATGGTTATTCAACAAACGGAGAAAGGAAATGGCTTTGTCAAATACGATTGCGTTATGTTTGTGCAACGATAGTAGAAATGTCTTAATCTCCAGTCTTTAACCAGAAAGTGTAATATTTATTTTCGCATTCACCTAAATCTGTAAACACAACTAGTATTATGTATTCAGCAAGATAAGTTTCAGCAGCTCAAAATATCCAAATCTAGGGATGAGAACGCACCTATATATACATATTTGTTGAATAGTTGAATATATGTAACTTGATCCATGTAAAAACATGTACATATATTAGGTTGTTATTCACGTGGAAAAGAACCTAATTTTAGTAAAATGGTACGTTTGGTTTTTAACAAAAGAAGAGCATAACATATTTCATCTTACACCTATCTTACGGGTGAATAACATTGCACACATTTGTAAGTGTCAGAATGAATTTGACTTGCATGTCACATGCCAGTTTTTCTTTAGTCCTGCATATTGGAGATGTCAGCATATTTTCTAGAAGGGGAAATCACAGTATACTGCAGTTTTAGAGAGAAAAACTCCCATTTATAACACCTGGCAGCCTATCCATAATCGACGTTAACAAACTATAGCACCCATTCTGAAGGGCCTCTTAACAAGAAAAGGAATACCCTAAACTATAGCACCCATTCTGAAGGACCTCTTTGACAAGAAAATGAATAGCCTAAGGAATTTACAAACAGCTCGTGTTTGAATAATCATTTAAATTAACCAGTGTTGAGTTTGATCGAGACTGGCAAACTTGAATACACGTTCGAGGTTATTTAGTAAAACAGGTCAAACTTTCAGTAAGCACCTACTAATTGAAACCAACTGCTCTCATACTTTCAGTTAGTGTTTAGAAGAAATTTGCAGGCTGTGTACTTAAATTGTGTTTCATAATTTCTTAAAGTGACCACATATATAAGTGTGGTGGTGTGGAATACAAATGACATAAATAACTTAACAGATGTATTTAAATGAAATGAGATCTATCTCCATATTATGATATAAGGATCTACTCATATCCAAAATTGGACACACGTAAACTGTTGCTTTGAAAAAAGGTATATAAACAAGAGCAAGCAAATGTTTGGGAACTCGTTCACTGTAATTTATAAGTGTATTTTTCCTTAATATGGATCCAAGATCATGTTTGGTAAAAGTTTACATATTACTTACTTTTTACTTATAAGTAGGAAAATAGTAGGTTGAGATTTTAAATTCATTATTATTATTATTATTATTATTATTATTATTATTATTATTATTATTATTATTATTATTATTATTATTATTATTATTATTATTATTATTATTATTATTATTATTTTGGAGCCTTATAAGGAGGTTCACTTTTTGAATACACTATTTTGCGCTCTTACATATGATGTTTACTTCCAAGGTTTCAAAATAAGGTTTGTCAAACATGGTCTAACCAGTGCCCATAATTTGGTGTCTTGGTCACATTTTATAACATACCCATGAATACTATTTGATCAGAAGTTTATAATTCCGCACGCACGCATGCATATGTGTGTGTGGTGTATGTGTGTCTGCATCTGTGTTTCTGTGTGTATGGGTGGGTGAGGGGTGGACGGGTGGTTATGCGCGTGTGCGTCTGTAGTGTACGTAGTGTGTAGTGTCTCTGCTGGTGGGTGGTTGAATGGGTGTGGGCATGTTTATATACATACACACATCTGGTTGTGTTTGTATTAAATTATCCTCTAATCAACATCATCAAACTCTAGAGAGCACTGTGTTTCAATCTACAATACCATATTACTAAAATTGTTATTTGTTACATGTTACAGGTGGGGAACTACACCATTAGATGAAGCGCATAAAAGTGGAAGCAGATCCTTGATAAGGCTAATGGAAGAAGCTAAACAAGAAGAGCAGTCCTTGTTTCCTGGGCAACAAGATCAAGAAGTACAAGGTTTATTTTGACACAATTCATTTTATTTCACAAGGGATTTTATGTTTTTTTAATTCTCATAGATGATTCCACCATTTAGTTATCATTATCTTAAAGCTAACTCTTTTTATCATTAATCAAGATTACCAACTTCTAAAGCAGTGTTGATAGTAGAAACTTTTGCGCTTCCTTATCCTTCTGAACTGTCTTATTTACTTCCTGACCACTTACATACGCAAGTAATGCAACCAGCCAGCTTATTAATGGTTTGTTCACCCAATGTTGTTGTGCCACTATTGAAGCATATTTGATACCGCTCTGCATCCTAAAGAAGTATCCCAGTCAAGTGACAAATTTCTAGCTGGTGCATTTTTAGTAAAGTTGCTTGCATGTGCTATGAGCTAGGCTTGAGAAGTTTGTCGGAAGCAATTAAGAAAGATAAGAAAGTGGTCAAGTTACAGTAGGAGTAGCCCTTAGATAACTGAATAAAAGAATTTGGTTATTATAGTCGACTCCAAATTTCTAGATAAAGGCTGAAGAAATGGCGAGCATAGTGACGAAAACCGCAGGAACAGGTTTGGGTGCTGTGCGGTCGACCGCGTGTGGCGCGACGGTCGACCGTCAACGTGCACGAGGATGAGTTCTGTTCAGAAAAGTCCAGAGACTCAGGAAAGTTTCTGTCGTTTTCGCGGTCGATCGCACATGGCGCGCCGGTCGACCACGAGTCGGGTCTAAGCTGGGTATTGGTTTTTAACCCGTTTCGTTTCTGAGTTGATATATAAGTCTAATCCTAATTAATTAGGGTTAAGCAATGACGTTTTCAGCAGGCTTTGAGAGGCCGACCGTCAAAAGTCCAGAGACTCAGGAAAGTTTCTGTCGTTTTCGCGGTCGATCGCACATGGCGCGCCGGTCGACCACGAGTCGGGTCTAAGCTGGGTATTGGTTTTTAACCCGTTTCGTTTCTGAGTTGATATATAAGTCTAATCCTAATTAATTAGGGTTAAGCAATGACGTTTTCAGCAGGCTTTGAGAGATGATTGTTGCATCCAAGTCACTGTTTTAAATATCGGCCGATAATTGATATTATCGGCCGAGTTATCGGATTTGGGAGCTCTCCGCTAGGATAAATTGGATTTTTAATCGGTTATCGTTTTTCTAGGTTTATCGGCGATTTATCGGCGTTATCGGCACTTATCGGCCGATAAGTAAGACTTTTTTATCGGGATTATCGGGATTATCGGCCCATTTTGACTAACATTATATTTTTTCAAGGCTATGATGCAAGTTTCGCTTTCTACAGTTAGTTAATGATTCTAAACATGATGATTTATATTTTGGTATGTTTATATTTCATTAAGCATGATTAGATTACATTTTTTAATTGTTATATTATATATACACATCATCCAGTATATCACTCCGATAAATACTATTTATCCCCGATATATCCCCGATTTCCGCTATCCGATAAGGATTTTGGTCGTCCGATAAATCTCCGATAACCGATATTTAAAACCTTGATCCAAGTATGTGAGATTTGTGGGAGATCTAGAGGCTTAGTTTTAGAGTTTATTTGGTGAAATTTGTAACCATATTTGTATTCTCTTGATTTCTAATAGTAAGAACTCCCCCCTCCTTGCCCCGTGAACGTAGACAACTTGCTGAACCACGTAAAATTCGTTTATCTTGTTATATTATGTTTGGCTTATTTGGTTGTGATTTATCTCGTTCTTGTTCGTGTGGTTTCGAGCTCCGCTGCGCACAACAAGTGGTATCAGAGCCTCGGGTTTGGCTTGAGGCTTGTTCGAAGGATTTGGTGAAGGATTTCTATCTAAAGAATTAGATCGACACCATGGGAGAAGCAAACACATCTGGTTTCTCTTATGAAGGCGATAAGAGTCTGAGCATCAATAACACGAAGATTGATATTCCGAAGTTCGACAACAAGATCAATTTCGGTTTGTGAAGGTGTCAGGTGATGAATGCATTGTATGCACAGAATTTTGAGGAGACTCTTGAGTTACAAGGAAAACCCATTGATATGGAGGATAAGATTTGAAAGAAGATGAACAGTAGGGCTTGTGGAGTTATTCGATCATACTTGATACCGGATCTTATTTATGACGTGATGAATGAGACGTCGGCGAAGAGAGTGTGAGAAACACTCAATGAGAAGTATCTTACGAAGAGCATTGAGAATCGGCTTCACTTGAAGAAGATATTTTACCAGTTCAAAATAAAGAGGAGAGTTTCCATCAGGGAGCATGCCAATAATTTCACCAAGCTACTTTCAGATATAGCCAATGTGGATATCATGGTTGAGGATGAAGATAAGGCGATGCTACTTTTGTGTTCGTTACCCGAGGATGATTATGGTACATTCGTTCTCACTATGATCAATGGAAGAACAACAATTAGCTACAAGGAGGTGACCTCGGCGTTGGTGAATTATAAGCTGAGGAAGAGTGATGGTGAACCATCTGAGAAGACATCGGGAGATGCATTAGCAGTTCGAGGTCGTACTCCAAACCGCCGCCAAGACAACCGCTCAAAATTAAAGAATAGAGATGCCTATAAGAGTATTGGTAGAATTCAATGTCAGTATTGTAAAGAATAAGGACATTGAAAGATTGACTGCCCAAAGTGGAAGGAAAAAGCCGGGAAGAACAAGGAGAAAACTGTACAAGCTTCAGAGGTGAATGTTGCAAAAGGTGTTAGCGAACATTCAGATTCAGATTCTTCGGGTTATTCGTGCCCTGCACTACCGTCGGTTTGCTATGCCGACTCTATGGAGTGGATATTGGATTCGGGAGTCACATATCATATTTATCCTAGGAGGGATTGGTTCTTCAGTTTTGAGGAACTGGAAAGAAGGGATATCGTGCTTATGGGTAATGACCACGTATGTCCTATTGGTGATATTGGTTCAGTCCGGATCAGGATGCATGATGGTATGGTGAGGGAGTTGAAAGAAGTGAGGTTCGTGCTGCAGTTGACGAAGAACATCATTTCTCTTGGTATTTTGGAGGTAGCTGGTTATCGGGTGACCTTAGAGGATGCTACAGTGAAGGTCACGAAAGGTTCTATGGTGATGATGCGAGGAGTCAAGGAAAACTTCCTATACTACTTGAAGGGCAAGACAGTTACATAGGGTCTGGCAGCTTTTATCACTACAGAGGAGGACACTACCACCATATGACACATGAGATTAGGACAAACATGTGATAAGTCCCTGCAGTCATTGGCGAAATAAGGGCTATTGAAAGGTTCTAAGACCTGTAAGATAGAGCTGTGTGAGCATTGGGTACTTGGGAAAAAGACTAGAGTGAAGTTTGTTACCGCTATTCATAATACTCAAGGTATATTGGATTACATTCACACAGATGTTTGGGACCCTTCCAAGCACACATCACTTGATGGGGCCAACTATTTTATCATTTTCATTGATGACTATTCCAGGAAAAATTGGGTATACCCTATGAAGTATAAACATGAGGTCCTGAATATTTTTGTGGAGTAGAAGAAGAAAGTAGAGCTGCAGACAGGTAGAAAGGTGAATACTCTACGTTCAGATAACGGTGGAGAGTATAAGAGTGATCCGTTTCTGCAGTTTTACTGGGATCACGACATTAGACGACACTTCACAGTTCGAGAGACACCGCAACAGAACAGAGTGGCTGAGAGATTGAACCGTATATTGCTGGAGAAGGTACGATGTATGATGACGCAGAGTGGATTGCCTAGATTCTTTTGGGCCGATGCATTAGCTTATGCGAGCCATCTTGTGAACAGGTTGCCGTGCACTATGATACAAGGGAAGACTCATTTGGAGCGTTGGTCTGGTTCGGTAGCTAGTAACTATGAGTCGTTTCAGATATTTTGGTGTCCTGCTTATTACTATGTTAGTGATGGTAAATTGAATCCGAGGGCGAGGAAACAGTCTTTGTGGGATTTAGAGATAGAGTTAAATGCTTCAAGTTAAGAGATCCACAGGACAAGAAGATAGTTATTAGCAGAGATGTCACATTTGATGATGCATATATGATGAGGCCTCAAGTTCCTCAATAGGTGGAGGAAGATCGGATTCGAGAGATATTGTAACAGGTGGAGGATGATGTGACTCCACCCACTCCAGATAGCATTATATCCTTTGAGGCTCCTACAGAGGTGACACTGGGAGGAGATGAGATGATAGCCGAAAAATGTACGATTCAATAGAGATAAAAAAGAGATGAGGAAATCCGAAAATAATTCAAACAATTTACCCACTCGAACAGTTACGGGTAGTCGCGACGCATAACCTCCTCGCGCTCCCAAGAAGCCTCCTCATCTCTTTTCTATCTCTATTGAACTTTAACTTAAGGTATTACTTTCTTTCTAAGCCTCTCGTCCTCTCTAGTAAGAATACAACCCGTGATCTCCACTGTAGTTAAATCTATCTGAAACTCAAATTCTGGTGCATCAGAATACAACCCGTGATCTCCACTGTAGTTAAATCTATCTGAAACTCAAATTCTGGTGCATCAATCACCATCTGCTGCTTCTCGTCGCGAAATTACTTCTAAATTATCAAAACATGAAAAACATCGTGTCTACTCGATATTGATGCTAGAAGATCTAGCTCATACGAAACGGTTCCAAAATGTATAACTCTCATGAACGGGCCAATATACCTTGGGGTAAACTTTTCCCGTCTATCGAGTCACTGAATTCATCGACGGTATTCTTAATAAGACATAGTCCCCAATCTAGAACTCTAACGGTCATCATCTCTGGTCTGCGTAACTCTTCCGACGACTATGCGCTGCAAGAATGCGTTCCCGAATCTCTATTACCTTTTCTGTAGTCTGCCTCACAAACTCCTGTCTAAATAATAAACTTTCTTATAATTCTGCCCAATTAATAAACAATCTATAATGCCTCCCGTACCATACCTCATATGGTGTCATACCAATAGTCTATGATAAATGATATTATAAGCAAACTCAAATAATGGGATATGATCCTCCCAGCTATCTTGT